AGTCTTTGTGTTTTAAATGTGTTGTATGAAAGAGTGGAGATCATTCTGAGTGTGCCCATGAGATGAGGCATGTGGAGTCATATCAGGGCCCTTTCAGAAACAGGTTGTCAGCTCCATGGGAAGGAAAGGAACAGACTCCTGTATAGGGTCCTGTCTGCACTCACAGGAAGACAGGGGATGAGAGAGACCATGGGCCCCTGGACCTTAAAAACATCAAGGGATTTTTTTAAATGACTGGCTTATTGGGACTTTTTTTGAAAGGTTTCTCTTAAACAATAATTTTAAGCAGGGATGAAGCTTTTCTATCAGCTTATTGTTATTATTAGATTACTAAATAAGAAGCAGCACTGAAATATTTTATTACTAATTTCTCTGCTTTGCATTACCCAGTCATAAATTATCCTGTGTTTATGTATGCTTACATGTGCAGTGATATTCCTTATTGTAATTAGCACTCAAATATTTTTTTGAGATAATTTAATTTTCTGGAAATAGCTTCAGCTTACATTTTCATGGATCACATGTCAAAAAAGCAAGGAATAAAAAATATATCTAGAATTTTTGACTCAGAGACATTATGTATTAGCCAATCTTTAGTGGTTATAAAATTAAGGCCCTTGACAACATAAAATATAGGAAGTGGGCAAAATCGCTGATTAAAAAGTTAAAGAAGTAGTTTAGTTTACCCACAAGTAAACCTTCTTACTATGCTTCAAGCAAGTTAGAATGGTAGGCAATGAAGAATGGAGACAGCCATTTAGCTACCACACAATTCTTTTTACAGGAATATCATTTTTCTGTAAATTTAAAACTGACAAAAAGAACATTTCAGTCATTATGCTTCTATATCATACTGTGAGACTTTGTATGTCTCTTTTCATTTTATTTCAATTATGCCAAACACTGATTCATATAAAATGCAAGTTATAACTAGAAATATTAGAGACAGACAGAAAATAGAAGGGTGCATACAGTCATTGAATGAAATTGCTTCATCTCTGTCATCAAACATGATGGTGTGTACTAACACATGTGTGAGGCAAGGACTAATTTTGTATCTTCTTCTTAGTCCTCAAAAATGACCAGAAAAAAGAAAACTTACATGGATGTGAGAGTGATGAAGGCATGAAAATTGCCATTGAGTGTGAACAAAACATTAAGCATCTAGAACAGCATGAAGTATTGATGATGTGAAATGCTGTAAGGTATAACAGCATTAAACACATTATTTGCATCTTAATTTTTCTCCCTTAGTAGGTACCTTTGGGGCAATCTTTATACAATTAAAATATTAAATAGATTATTCCAAATGTCTTTTTGTTAAATACTTTTTTGTAATGTTATTACCAAATGGTAATGTAATAAAGGAAGGAAAATTAAATTGTTATGAATTTCTATTTATATTATTTCAAAATGTGTGGATTATTTTAAATTGCTAATAAACAGCAATGACTCATTTTATTGGGAAACATCATTGTCCCTTGAGAATATTAAGAACAGATGAAAAATGTGAGTGAATTAAAATTGTTTTTCTAAAATATAAGTCTAAAATAAAATATTCAGTTTCATATATCTACACACATTTTTATATCATTTATAAATGGAAAGTCTAAAATAATGCAATTATAGATGAGGTTTCAAAAACACTTTGTTGTTGTAAGTCAATTGTTAATATGAAATTATTTGAAATTTCACTCCAGGAGAACCCTGCATTTATTATAGATGACAACTGAATTCGCTATTAATTAGCCAAGTGTATACTGGCATATTAAACTTAGATTCGGAAATGGTTTGAAGATTGATAAATGGTAAATTTAAAAGATGTAAAAATTTAAAAATGTAAATTTAGAAAGATTAATGTTTTAGATGAAATATTATAGAGGACAGATAAGAAATCAATGGAATGATTTGTTTAAAAATCTACATATCTATTTATAGCATAATATGTTAGATTCACTTACTGCCAACTCATAATTATGGCGTGACATAGGGTATTACAATAGACATCATATGTTAAAAAGCAGCATTTCTATTTTAATTAACATTGAGATGGAAGTCACCAAATGCATGTAAATTTAAACAGAGATTATATTATTTTGTCAAATATTATTGTCCTGAACAGATTTTCAGAGAATATATAGCTATAAGAAATAGCTGAGTTTAGCATAAACTAAATATTTAAATATTTGTTTCCAGGGAATAACTAAAGTCTTACAATTTTTGTCTTATTTGAGAGGATGCAATTTCAACTCCTGTTATTAGAGTCATTCAAATAGAATTTTGTTTGAATCTAAGTTATTGGGAAATAACTATTCTTCAGGTATGCATGGAAGACATTTGTAGGAAACACTTAATCTATTTAAAGAAAATCTTAGCTCTAGAACAGCATAAGCTGACCTGGAATGGAAAGATTATTGAATAATCAGTGTATATGGATGCCATATGGCTTTCAAACATGAATCCTTCTCACTTTCATCAAAATAGTATATATGTACATTTGTATTTATCCTTAGACTATAGACTTAACAAATGCACAGGGCAGAAAATCAATTATTTATTATCCTTAGAAGCTATCTTGAATTATTTTTAAAGTTAGACAGCATACAAAAACATAAGTAAATAAAATAAAGTTTGTGTACAGATGGTCAAAATGCAGTCAATGATAGCTTTATTTTTTCAAAAGATAACCACTGTGCCTAGCAAAACATAAACTTGGTCAGGATTTCTTAAATCTAGAACTAATGGTCCATTCCTATTTCATTTGCATATATAAATAATAATTAATAAATAATCATCAGTAGGGAAACAGGCACTAGAATACTGTGTACATATGTTTTCTTGCAGCAAACCATTGCACTATTACATTGCATTGTGGAGGAAGCTACATGAAATGCATTAAAGCAATCCCATTTTATCCATAACTCTCAACAAAAAACATGTTTGGAAATACCTTGGCATGTCTTTTTAAGCCTCCAGGACTGAAGTAATGATATCATACATGGGAATAGCAACTCTAGCCAAAATGCTTCCATATCATGCATACAGACACACACACGCACACACACACAGCGCTGGAGATAGCATCCATAACATGGTGCAGTGCGTAATCAGCACACAGCAGGCTGGGACAGTGTGGGGTGGGGAAATTTGGATACAAGAGCAAACTTGTGTTCTTTCAGAATAGACGCAGGATTCTCTGGTACCTTCACAGAGGTAAAAGTAAGTTTAAAAAAGCTGTATACAATGCTGAGGTCAATGCTGAGCCTAGTTAAAACTTTCCTAGGAACAATAATTGCATTAATGTAAGGTCCCCTGTTGTGGCAAACTTTCTACAGTGAGACTATTTTATTTACTTTGCCTGTTCTGCCAAATTAGAGTACTGAAGAAAATCCATGTAAACCAGTACTCATGACAATAAAGGGCATAGTACAAACATTGAGACTCATTTTGATTCTGTTTATTTCAAAATTTAGATTACTCATACTGTTTCTAAGCAAAATACATAGTTTTAAAGGACAAATTTGATCAGCCCAGAGCATTGTTAGTTTAGGGAAATAGTTTTCAAAAAGTCAAAGAAACCAATCACCCCCAAATTTGCCAAATGCTTGAAATATTTTAAACACAAAAGGGATGTATATACTTTCTTATGACTATATCTGTGTTATCATATTGTTTCTTCTATAAAAATAAAAATTTATTGACTTTCCATACAATAAGCCTGTTTTTTCATTAGAGTTTTCATAAAGTAATATTTAATTAAATAGATACCTTTCATTCTATAGTTTCTATAAACATTAACTGTTTAGCTACTAGAGATATAATTATGTTGGTCTTCCAAAGAAAGATTAGAGAATCTGCTATATAGTCTAATACCCACTTGTATCTATAAATATATATTGCAAACACTATATCTAATTATGTAAATTCTATGCCATGAAAAATTTACAGTTAAGATAATCAAGTAAAAGCAAGTGGATCATGTGAAATTTTCTTTCAGGGATGAAAAACAAAGGGAGAAGTGGGATGCTGGGAAATAAGATGTAAATTTTAGTAGCAAAAGGACAATTGCTGAGTGATTACATATTATAAGAGAACTTAGCAAGTACTTTAAAATAATACCAGATCTAGACAATCTGTTATGAGGTTGAGATTACTGCAAGAATTATTTAACATTATGTCTCTTGCAGGGATGCTTACTTGCAATGTACAGTAGAATCATCTGGTAGCTACTTTTAGATATAATTTACCCCAGAAATTAAGTTTAGTAGACAGAACTATTTGTGTGTGATTTCCCAGGCTAAATTCTTGGCTTCAATAGATTTCTATGTAACTACTGTATACTATATTATGAACCCCCAAGTCAAACCACATATGGACCAAAACTATCTATTTTATATTGCTTTCCTAATATTTAGTCATTATACTTGGACATGTGCCTCTGTGAACTCTTTTTATTTGACAATTTCAAAGGATGCTGCTATCAAAACTAAATTGTTCACTTGCTATAAGTAACCTCAGCATATTTTAACGTTTAGAATGGATTCTAAAGATACACAGAAGGCACAAAGCATTTTGTTGCCTTATTTTGAGGTCTCTTGTGCAGCTGCTTTTAGAATTTGTTTGTATAAATAAATTTTCCATTTATTTTCAACTAATTTTGTACAAGTATCTGAGTGTTTCTTCTATGATGATTATTACAAGATATATGTGACATTTCTCTTTAACATATATTTTTAAATCATTTTGACCAATCAAATAGCTCTGTTAAAAAAATGAAGGGTAATATTTAAATATCCTTTTATGGATGAGAGAAGACAAGAATGAAGTTTTTAGAAAAAGAAAATAACCTTCTTAGCTGAAGGAGGATGGTGTTTGCTCCGCTTTCAATACAAAAGGAGCTACGTTTCCCCACCAAACACTGCCTTGGTAGTGCAGAATATGCTGTCTGCTTTTTACTGATGACCACATTCCTCTATTTAGAGTTAAGAAAGTCAATTTACCATATCTGAGAAACGGTAAAACTTCTCCAATGCAAAAGCTTCTGTCTGTGGGAAGGTAAAGTGGACCAAGAGGAATTGAGAAACCAGAGAATCAATTCATATATGATTAAATATAATTACACAATTGGTTGTAATTGCATATACCATTTGAACAGACCTAGGTAGCAATTAATAGATTTTCACATATGCAAAGTATCTATCCCAACGTATAAACTGAATTTTAAAAAACTCTTTTTTTCATTAAATCAAAATTACATTTAATTACATTTGCTCGCTGAATATATCAAGTAGTTATCAGAAAACAATAAGATATGACTGTTTTTGCATTTCTGCATTTTCCCAGAGTACCAGTCACTGGAGAAAATGAATGCTTCCCTCTTTCTATGAGCTAAAGAGGAAGGAGCATCAAATATTTTTATTTCACTTTTACATGTGGTAAAACTGAGTAAGGAGGCACTTTGGTAAAAATAATTTTTTAAAAGAAGGATCCAGAATTGAGCATACAAACTTGTCATCTAATACTTTGTCTACTGGATATTGTGATTATTGAATGTGTGGTGGATGTAGGATATGTCTGAGCTTTCACACTTTACCCATTTGGACACCGGATGCATAAAACTTCTCTTTTCCAGAATTTACAGGACCTGCTTGATACATTCTAAATTGTATAAGGAGAAGGAAAAAGGTAAGGAAATGGAAAATCAAAATGACAAAAAGCAAATCATAATGATAGGGAACATGCATATTGCTTTACTTCTAATTAATGATACTAAAAGGGAAAGTGGTCTTTATCAGTCACTAATACCAAAGAAAGACCAGAGCGTCATCCCTGTGATACAGCATTTGTACTGTCATTGTTGTTCAACCGGTGCCAGTTATTATGAAAGAAAACATGAGAAAGTAGGATGTGGAGAGGGAGAGAGAAGAGGAAGAAAAAGAGACAAAGGCAGAATGAGCAGAAATGAGAAAATATAACAGACCAGTAGACCAGGGTGAGGTGAGGGAAGAAGATAAAGTTAATCTCCCCATCACAGTATGTTTCAGTGTACAAAAGATATGCTTCTGTTTTCATAAAAATTTGATTAAACGCAAGTCTTAGCACTGTTTTTTGTTCATGTATTACTGAATCTCTGATGCTGAATGCTAATGTTCTTTCCACGCTGCTGTTAATTGTGTGTTTATTGGAGCAGTGATGCTTTTTGGAGGGCCAATTAGAAATGATAAGTAAGTTACTGCTTTAGAATATGTTTAATACTAAGTAGACTCAAACACTAAGACGTCAAAGCTTTTTAAACAAGTATAATAAATACATAAATTGCAGTATAATTTATAAACCATAAAGAATCCTTAAAAAGTTAAATCTTTACATACTTAAAAATGCACACTATGCGAACTATACTATTATCACTAAGGTTTATGTTTTGACTTAAATATGCCAGGATATTGGATCCTTGCCACAATTACACAAAACTTTGATATTACTGTCCATTGCTTTAAAAGACCATTTGCTTTAAAATGTCTGTTGGCACATTCACATTAGAAGTAAATGCATAGATCTGCTGTTGATAGAGGATCTCTCTTACAGAAAAGGAAAGCGGATTGGTCAAAACCTCGTGCATGTCAAGGGAGATGACATTACAGTTCTGCATAGAGGAAAAACTTCATTTAGGACATCCAAATCCAATTAGGGGTTTACTTCTGAAACTGGCTATGGTCTCTTCATGATGTTCTAAGTTTCTTCCTGGTTTCATCATTTATCAGATAGTAGCCAGGAAACAACAGGACTTTCTTGTGTTTCCCACAGGGTTTCAAAAGAAATGTCTTTAGTTCATGAAAATATGCATTAAAAAGAGACCACAGAGTTTTTCATGTATTTATCATCATGGTATTAGTAAATAAGTAATATTTGATGAAAATAATGAAATGAATTAGCTCTGACAAAAGAACTTTAATAATTACATTTGATGACTTACGTCAAGTGAAACCATTAGAAATGCTCTAACATTGAAAGTAAGAAATGATATAATTCATTAATTAAAATAAAAAAGGGTCGTTCCAGGAAGCACATTAAAAAGAAGCTAATGTAGGTCTCATGTCACCAGATATGCTGTTTAAAGTAGAGCTAGGTGTCATCATTTTCTCCCTGAAGCTATTTTTGACATTTTTAGTTTGGATTGGAAAAAAAAATGAAAGGAATATTATATTATTTCATCCCCAGTCCCAATTGCCTCTCTTTTCATCTCTATTAAATACAACAAATTCACTTTCCAGTGAAAACTGGATGCTGCCAAACCCAAACCATTTAATCACTTACCTTATTCTTTCTCTTTCGTCGAAATCTCAGAAGTTCTTTGTGTTGTCTTGATACAAAATTTACAGCTGCATACTCCAGAAGTGCTGAAAACACAAAAAGGAGGCATACTGCCATCCAAATATCAATAGCTTTGACATATGAAACCTAGCCAAGAGAGAAAGAGAGAGCAAGCAAATTCACTTATATTGTTACTTCCTTTGAGAACAAAACTGAGTTTTTCTGATTCTGAATTATGTCATTCATATAGAAGTATTGAAAAATAAAGAAAATGACAATTTTTTCTTGAAGTTTTCAGATAGCCATTTTTGTAAATTTTATGTATTAGTTATGAGTATTCTGTTTTTTTTGTTTTTTTCAAATTTAGGCAATAGCCCAAACACGATGAAAGGAAAAGTAAGATGAAATATAACTTTACCTTCAGAACAGTACAGTGCTTAAAAAGTGTGAACATTGAAATATAGATAATGCTGTTGGCTTTTTAGTTCCACATTTTCATCAATATTTTTAAAAAGTTTAAAACTGTATTTATTAATTCTGTTAAGATATTTTTCTTTCATTGCATTTATAAATAATATATGGTTATTTGTTACATATTTTGAAATATTTTTAACTTTTATAAAGACAAGTTATAAGGATAGTACAAAGAGGCCAGGTGCGATGGCTCACACCTGTAATCCTAGCACTTTGGGAGGCCAAGGCGGGTGGATCACCTGAGGTCAAGAGTTTGAGACCAGCCTAGCCAACATTGTGAAACCCCATCTGTTTTAAAAACACAAAAATTGGCTGGGTGTAGTGGCGGGCGCCTATAATCCCAGCTACTTGGGAGGCTGAGGCAGGAGAATCACTTGAACTCAGAGGGCAGAGGTTGCAGTGAGCCAAGATCACGCCACTTCACTCCAGCTGGAGCGAAATAGTAGAATTCTGTCTCAAAAAAAAAAAAAAAAAAAAAAAAAAGAATTGTAAAAAGCACTATCAGCTTCTCCAGTTGTTACTACATTTACTTCTCCACTTTACATTTATTGTTGTGTGTGTATGTATATATATTATTGTGTGTGTATGTGTGTGTATATATATATACATGTATATATTCCTTCAAACTATTTGAGTGTAATTTGTAGACATAACACCATACACTCAACAAAATCCGAAATTTAACATTTATAACATTGATAAAATCCTACCACCTAATCCTTAAATCCCTCCCATTTCACCAATTGTCTCAAGAATACCCTTTTTTATTTAAAAAACAAACTTTTTTGTTATTTTTTTTTCCAGCACAGGATTTAATCCAGGATCACGTGCTGCATTTTGTTGTCATATCTCTTTAGTTTTCAGTGTGGGACATTATCTGTCTCTCCTTGCTTTTTTTGTGGCATTGTTACTTTTGATTAGTACAGGCCAGTTATTTTCTAAAGTTTGCCTGATGTTTCCTCATTTACATTCAGATGATGGATTTTTAGTAGGGATTCCTAACGAGTGATTCCCTGTTCTCCACAGTGCATCATATCAGGAGGTACACAATGCTGATCAATTGATGAAGGTAATGTCTGCTATGTTGCTCTATTGTAAAATTGCGAATCTTCCCATGCATGGAATATTTTGAAATTATATAAGTATTCTATTACTCTTTAAATCTTCACACACTAGATTTAGCATATGTTGATGATTTTTGGCTGAAACAATTACTACAATGATGGTTACTCAGTGGTGATTTTCTAATTTCCTTATTCATCTACATTTATCAATTCACATTCAACTGTGAGAAAAATCCCTGTCTTCTACATTTATCTGTTTATTCCTTTATTTATATGTGTATAAACTTATGGATAACTATTTTCTTCCAAGTGATGTAATACATTAACATCATTATTTATTTTGATTCTCACATTATCCCAGATTGGGCCATTAGGAGCCCCTAGATGTTAGCACATATATCATTTTGACAAGTCTCCCTCATTATTTGAGCATTTCCTCACTTTCTGGCACAAGACACTCCAGATTCATCTTGTACTTTTCCTATTCTGGTCTTTGAGTCAGCCCTTTCTCTAAGGAACTCTTCTGTAGTGAAGAGTGGCTTTTAGAAACCAAGATCTGGACACTGGGTGTACTCACATCTTCCTTAGGGGTATCGTTTCTAGGCCCTCACAGTGGACAGAGCTATCAATCTCACACATACACATATATTCGCGCGCACACACACACACACATAAAATGTAGCAACTGTATACATTTCTTTATCATCTTTCTCTCTCTATCTCTCTATCCATCTATCCATCAAACACGAGCTTCCATTAGTATCTCTAAATCTAACTCAACACCACAGCACTCCCTGTAGCCTATACCCTTTCTATATATGCAAAATTTTTCTCTAAAAGTGGGAAACTTGACTCCCATTATCCTCAACATGTATTTGATCATTCACCATGTATGTGACTAACATCTCAATTCTGCCAACCATCTTTTCAGCCTCAGCACCTTAATATAATGGTAAAACCAGATACTTTGATCATTCAGTTGATTTTTGGTTCTTATGAAGGTGATTTTTGTGTGCAGATAGTTGTTCCATTTGGCATTCCTGTAGGGGGGATTATGGCTGGAGGCTTCTATTTGGTCACCATTTGCCCCATTTGGCTCCTTGCCCCTGGTCCCATCCCGCAATGGCCCCACTGGCCTTGATCCTAACTATCTATTTATCCTGTTCCATAGGTTCTCGTAATCTGATAGCATCCCTGATCCTGGTTCCACCAACCCCAGCTACCATCCTTGATTCTGACACTTGCTCAGCTATGGCCTTACAGTCTCACTGTGTCTTGTCACCTCAAAGGTAGAGAAGGGAAGAGAAGGATAAGAAAAAGCGGAACAAACAGACAACTTTTAAAAATGAACACAAAGGGAAGAGACAGGAAGAGAAGAGTAAAAAGAAAAGCTAGGTCCGTATTTTTTAGAAATAGACTTATACAGACCTAAGTCCCTTAGAAAAAGTAATTCGGTAACCTTTAAGCAACTGCTTTCATACTTCTCTCAGTTTAATTTGCAGTGATTTCAGGTTGTAGCTGACCTCGTATCTTTGTATATGTCCATTGCTCAAGGTTGAAAATTTGCTTGAGTATTAGGAAATTACTCAATTAAGGGCGGATCACGAGGTCAGGAGATCGAGACCATCCTGGCTAACATGGTGAAACCCCGTCTCTACTAAAAAAATACAAAAAACTAGTCGGGCGAGGTGGCGGCGCCTGTAGTCCCAGCTACTCGGGAGGCTGAGGCAGGAGAATGGCGGGAACCCGGGAGGCGGAGCTTGCAGTGAGCTGAGATCCGGCCACTGCACTCCAGCCTGGGCGGCAGAGCAAGACTCCGTCTCAAAAAAAAAAAAAAAAAAAAAAAAGGAAATCAATTAGCATTCTACTGTAAGAAAAATCACTGTCTTCTACATTTATCTGTTTATTCATTTGTTTATGTATATGTGTATAAACTTATGGATAACTATTTTCTTCCAAGTGATGTAATACATTAACATCATTATTTTGATGCTACTGTAAGGAAATTTTCTACTCTAAGGAAATTAAGGAAGCGTATATTGCAAGCAGTGTCAGCAAAAACATACCTTTTGTGGAGTGAGCATGAGATAATTCATTTTATTTCATACTTTATATGGCCAATTAGATGCGTAAAATGCTGTCATTTGCCAAGTATTGGAAATAAAAATGAGAGATACTTTTGTTTATAAAAGGTAAGATGTTTTTCCACCTTTCACTGGAAATGGACAGTTCTCTACAAGTCTGTTTCCTTGCTGTAAAAACAAATATCCTTACTTCTAAGAAGATGTGGATCTGGGAGAACAGAATGCCAGGCTGGGTTCAAGCTAATTTGCCCTACTTCTTTGGACCCAGTGTATAATTATCTTAAGGATCAACACCCTACATTTTGAGATTTTGAGAGCTTGCCTGTCTTTGTGCTGTTTATATCTTCCGTATTCTTTCCTCTTTCATCTTCAATATTTAGTGTAGCTATTTTTATGAAACGTTAGCCCGTGGGAATTTTGGACAGATTTAGATAGTAGTTTTAAAGGATAAGTGGCTCAACATTTGGGGGGAAGTTAGAGTGGCAGGAACGATAAATAAAGTAAGGAAAAAAGCTCTTTCCCATCTTTCCCAGCAGGTTCTTCAGGTCTCAGGCTAGACTTTGCCCAAATCTAGCTCAGAATCCCATGGTACCTGTGCTGACTTGCTGTGTTACCCTAACACATTGCACTGGAATTGTGATTCCTTGTTTTTCTTTTTTTTCCTGTTTGTCCTGTGAACTCTTTGAGGGCAGATGACATCTCTGTTTTGGTCACCATCACATCAGTGTTTGTCACGTGTACATATTTGCTGAGTCAATGGACAGATAAATGAAGGCATTAAATGGTAAAATACAGGCGTGGGGGCAGAAACTGAATATAGATGACATATGGAGATTCACTTTCTGGAGCAACACTTTCTTAATACCTCCAATTGGGTTGATTTTCTTTTTGAAAGAGTTCATTTCTTGACACTCGGAAGAGTGTCAACTTACATACGAAGCATTTCAACAAGGAAGCACTCTGCATCTCCTCCTGCACTTAAGTGTGACTTCTACTGGTCAGCACCATCTCCACCGGGCAAAGAGCAGTGCATCTCACTTTATTCCAGTGCTGTGTCAAATGCCCATCTGTTTGCAAGTATAGATTTAAATTTCATAAATTCTGTAATTCGGCCAGAAATTTCTGGCTGCTTCCAAATATATACAGTCCTGGAACAAGTAATATGGCTTTCAAAGATGCTGTCTCAAGCCACATTATTCCTGAACGAATATGACTCATAAAGTATGTGTGCATTTTTGAGCGTTCTGAATCCATAATGACATGAACCACAGAAATTACCTCAGAAATATAATTTCCAAATTAATTCAATGAGCGTTTTCAGTGACAACAAATACATCGAAACATCATTTGTGCCTGCCAGGGCTCTGCTAATTGTGAACAGCTTATAAGCATTGAGCCTAAAGGCCTACTTTCCTCATCATCTCTTCGACCCCCTTCACCAATTTCAAGTCTGTTTCTCCTCCTCCATTCCAGCTTCCCCGCCAAGGACAGCAAACACAGGACGTGGGAAGTTTGGAACTTTGGG